GCATTGGACATCTGAGCTTCCATTGGACGTCTGAGCTTCCATTGGACTTTGGCTTGGACTGTTGAGCTTTGAGTCGACTTTTGCTTGGACTTTTTCTTGACCATCGAGCTTTGGTTGGACTTTCGATTTGGAGTTTGAGCTTTGGTTGGACTTTTTGTTTGACTTTGGACAGTTTTGATTTTTTATTTAAACGAGCTTCGATTTATTGTCTTATCTAGGGTTTTTTGATCATAAAATTAGGGTAACAGAGGGAAATGGTACTCGACACACTTGTGTGTCGGTGCCTTTCCCTCTGTTGTCCCTTTTCTAGTCTACTCTACCCGGGCGGTTTAAGACTGAAGTCCCCCTCCCTAACTATTGCACTTAATTCTTTTCTGCTAAGTAATCAGTAACTCTGAGTGCTAAGCATTCAGACACACACGCATGGACATACCCCCTCCCTGCCCCCCGCTTTCCTTCTTGCGTTTTTCGTCGTTTGTTGGGCTTTCTTTCAGGCTTTTTAGGTGATTCTTGAGGTTCGTTTCCCTACCCCAGTCAAGGGCTAAGAATTCACCTTGTTCACACCTATCTTTCTCTCCTGCCCTTTTAGCGCTGCTCTTTCTGTTTTTCTTTCTTTCTTTTCTAAGGCTTTTTAGGTGCCTATTTAGGTTTTATGCCAGAGCGCCGCAAAGCGGCGGAGTGTGTGTGTGTGTGTGTGTCACACTCTGTATCTAAGAGTTTTCATCGTTTTGTTCCAGCAGGGGGCCAGTGGACCACTATCACTCACTGCCCAACGAAGACAGTGATTGATCGGTCGTGAAGCAATGCGGGACGCCGCATTGTGTACCTGCTGAGTTTTTCCACAAGCTGTCACCCTACTTTTCCACGGCTTGATTCATGGTTCTTCACGCTTCCACCCCCGAAACCTTGGTTTTGCAGCTGAGTCGCGCCGCTCGTTCACTACCTCTGAGCTCTGCAGTCACGCACAAACAGCTTGTTCAACCTTTCAAGTGAACTGACTTTCTCACCATGCCGTTCCCTCACCATTTTCGACCTGGGAATTGAGTTAACTGAAAACCAGTGTCAGAGTGTGTGTGTGTGTCGGGTTGGCAGCTAGTGCAAGCACGCCATTGCATTGACCACTGGCTACTGTATCAGTTAGAAGTTAGAAGGCAAGTGGGAATGTACCTGATGTTATGTACCTGTGTTTTGGCAAACATTTCCTGCCGCTGACCTCGAAAAAAGAGCAGGCGCACCAAATGACAAGCGGAGGTCTTGCAGTGACGTCATGCTGTAATGTCAGACAGGTACCCAGGCATGTGTTTTTTCCGTTTCACGAGACTTCATTTGCCAGGCAGCAAGGCAAGTTCAAATGGAAGGTGAATACCAATACGCACGGGCCTTTGCTGCTTTCACCAAAGTAAATGGGGTTTGGCCAAGAGCTGAAGCCTTGCAGTTGTTGTATGACAGAGTCTTGATGCTTTGCAAAGCATTTACCAGCAAGAGCAACCAACTCAGCCCTGACCTATAGCTGCCGAACACACACGTACACTGCCACACACTTGATGCTGCAAAGGTCATGTGATGTTTTGCAAAAACATCATGTTTTGCTGATTGATTAGTTGATATTTGTTTGTTTTTAAGAAGCCTGGTAGTCCGGGAGCTTTGGGGATATAGAGAAATTGTTTGCAATTGTTTAAGATTGATTTGGCAAATGTTTTAATTGTTTGCAAATTGTTCAAAATGGTTGTAGCAATTGTTTCAATTGTTTTGGAAATTGTTGAAAATTACTCAAAATTGTTGTAGCAATTGTTTCAATTGTTATAGAATTTGTTGAAAACTGCTCAAAATTGTTGTAGCAATTGTTTCAATTGTTTCCAAAATTGTTGAAAATTTGCAGCAATTGTTTCAATTGTTTTGGGACTTGTTGAAAATCTTTCAACATGTTTTTCAATTTACTAACAGTCATTTTAAAAGTTGGTTTATTTTTTGCCATTGTTTGAAATTGTTTTGTTTTGGCACTGCTTCCAACTTTAAACGAGTGCTGCAGTGCTGCATCTTGTTCTAGCACTGGTATCAATATGTGAAACACTTTTCTCCGCAATTATGTCGAAGCGGTAGCCTTTTCTGCTACTTCCTTCAAGATAGTATTGGCGCAAGCGCTGATTTGATGGATGAAACTTGTTTCCACATGTGTGTGAGCTTTTGTTCAAGCCCCTCAAGGGTTTCAATTCGACTGCAGCCAATGGAACCACAGTTAGTCCAAAAACAGACAAGCGCACCAGCCTGGACCCATTAGCCAACAAAACATCTGATAGTTGTTCTCTTGGTTGCGACCCTGATAGGGCCTAGCAGGGTCAGCCGCAGCTCCAGCAGCTATTTTTTCCGTCCAAATACAGGTATCGGTATTGCATCAGCCCTGCTGTGCGCAATGCTTGCAGGGCCTGAGTTGCTGAGCTTTGCCAGCACCCCTTCGTCTAATATGCTGACAGTTGGCTGTACAGTGGTACACATCAGAGCCTTGAAAGTGGAGTACATACGCTGATGCAGCCAGATGAACCGCAGAATCAAAATCATCATGTTTTTTGCTGTGTGCTCCTGTTGGCAGATCGTTGTCACATGGGCTGAGCCCTGAATCTTGCAAACACGTGCAGGGCCCTTTCGAAGGGTTTCTGCCATTACCAGGTTCGCTACAGGAAGCAGCTGAAGAATGGCAACAAAGTAGAACCCCAATCCCAATTACAAAGCCACAGTTCAAGAGGAATGACAAAGCTAAGCCGAGCAAGAGCCAGTCTCCCATTGCAAGCTGCAACATGGCAAAGAGGCGCAGCGGGCAAAACAGAAAGCAGGAAGTCACAACAAGAAAGGCCGGCGTCCTGAAGCCAAAAGAAACATGGAAAGCGAAGAGCTGCGCCTGGGAAAAACTGCCACCAGCCACCAGCTGACTGGGTAAACTAAAGCCTTGAATTGTGACCAGCTCAAATTGCACTAGGCTCAGGTCAAACCGCCTATGGGCCCATGGCCTGTGGCCTGTCGCGCCATATTGGACTAGATAGCGCTGCCACCTAGTTCATTGTTCAGAACAAGCTTATACAGTAGTTATAGATTTAAAACGTTAGAGTTTAAAATCTCAATCTGACTCAATCTATTTTTCTAGGTCCACCAGAAACTGCTCCCACCCATGCAGTGGACCCTGGCACAGACCTTCAAGCCTACTGCCTCTGCAGTTTTTGCAGCCAGTTCGAGCCTGAGGACCCCTACCCTTACATACTTCAGCCAGCAGAGGAGGTTCGGTTAAGCCTCGCCCAGCCGCAAGACCTGCCGCATTTTTTCACACTAGCTAGGCTCAAAGTCAAGTCAACAGTGAAACTTCTTGAAGCAAAGCCTCAGTTGAAGCGAACTGCGCAAGGCCAGAACCAAGGCAAAGCCTGTTTCGGTTTAAGTCTCTGAGCCTAGAAGGACGCCTAGTGCTGCAAGGGCGTTGTCTGTTTCCTCTGTAGTAGCTGCGCTGTCAGCTGGTCTAAAAAGCAAAGATGCTACTGCGCCCTGGGTAATGGCAAGCAACACTGGCAGAGCCATCGCGTTCCCAGCTAAGTCAGTCATCAGCCCCACCGTCAACCACTTTCTGGACTGAGTAGACCGCTTGCTTGATTTGCCCTTTCTTGCGGGCTGATGAATGTCAATGTCTTCGTCAGCCACCTGTTTCAAGAAGGGCTCAACTGGAAAGCCTTGAAAGATTAGCGCCTCTCTACCTAGCATAATTCTTGGTGGTTTTGCCACTTCAACAAAGAGAATCTTTGTACTTGGCCCAAGGCCTGGTGGCAAGCATATCCTCTGCCTCACCTGGGTCCTGTGCCAGTGGGTTTGGGTCTGTGCTTTTGGCAGAACACAGACAGCATTGACAAGGTTTGCTGTGAGCCACCGATATGGGCCACTTGGCACCAGCAGAGCTAGTACAGCCTAGGTCGCTCGGCGCCGTCTGGTCTGCCTGGTCATCTTCGCTGCCGGAGGCCATCGCAAGGCAACGCTGCGCGCAACCCAACTTTCTTGGACTTTGAACAGTCACTGCAGCACAGGTGCTCCAATGAACAACATTGAATTGAATCGAATTGTGACAAATCAGCAAACAAATGTTGGAATTTCTCGGGAAATGTCGAAACATTTGGGGAAACAATTGCCAACACTTTTCTCTACAAATGGTTTGTAGAGATTTCATATATATACATATTCCCAGATAATGTTTCTTTATATATCTATATGATAGAAAAACTGTTCTCTACAAATCATTTGTAGAGATTTTGACGGCGATAGTTTTGGACAATTGTTGTAAAATAAAAATAGAAAATTAATAGATATGGTAATTCTAACTAAAAATATTGACTGTCATAGTCGGTACCACTGGCTCATGCCTAAGATAAAAGGTCAACCTCAACACATTCCAGTCAAAACAACTTTGCCTGACACTGATTGCTTCAGCTAGCCGAGCGCAAACCTCAAAGCAGCCGTTTTTTTTAATGCCTAAGCACTATTCTGATTCTCCAGAGCTGAAATCTACTGAGCGAAGCCCCCCCCATTGATAGATGCAATGATCGCTCTTGGCCTGCTGGCCAATTCTTGTCATCCAACCCTGCCATCAGCCAACGTTTGAGACGAACCCTGCACTCTTCCTCAGGTAAGTCGCCTGTGGTCAACGCTTTTCTGCACGAGGTTCCTGGCACATCGTCGGAGTTCTGGTGCAACCCACAGATTGCGCCATAACCAGTTCGCACGCCTTGGGTGTAAATGGGCGCTAGATAAAATGCACCCCAAGACTCACCTCTGCGTTGGCGATTTGCTGTGGCAGAGGTCACCTCTGCAGGATTCGAAGCGGGGCCTGGGGCAAAGGATGCTCAGATGCGCCGCTTTGTTTTGCCCTGCTGGCTGCAAAGCTGGAAGGGTCAAAGTGATCCGCCATTTCCAACCTTGAAAATGCGCTTGTTGGTTTGACCTGATCAACTTCATCATCACTATTTTGACTGTTGTCAGATCCATGTTCGGAACCAGGGTCCAACCCAAGAAGTTGCCTTTCCACTTGCAGACCTGTTGCTTTGGATCGCTTGCAAGCCAGGAGGCTCTGCGTCCATGATCACCAGGTTTTCAGACAAGACTTTTTCAACTGCTTTTGTGAGGTCTTGCAGAAACTTCCCTCGGCGGGTGCTCTTGGACACGCAAAATGAACCTGGCAATATGCCTAGATGTTTGGTTGCCCTTTCAATGACATTTCCATTTCGATGCTGGGCGCACAGGCTGGGAAATATGAAGGAGTTCTGCGGCATCACTGCATGCAAGTGTTTGAGCAGCCGTATGTTGGCTGCATGCTGGTCACACGACACCAGCACAGCAGAGAACTTTGCTGGAGACCCAATGAAACCAGGCCCAAGGGTGCCTTGGTCCAGGCACAGCGCGCCCCACATGCACTCAGCCGTTTTACGAGCAAGGGCCTTGCTATGTCAATCTCCACATTCTGGCCTGCTGCACAGATGCTAAGTTGGCTGTGGCTTGCCAAGACTGACCAGCTTGCAGACCCAACTTGTTTCAAAGAAACATCCAGCTCTGTCTCGTCGAACATCAGGTTCACTATGTGATACAGCAGCAAACCTCTTTCACGCAGCCGGTTTATCTCTGATTGGATATGCTTGGCTTGACAATCAAGGAGGCACTTGCCAATGAACATGCGGGCTTTGATCACATGGGCAGCACTTGCCCCATCAACTTCCCTTGCTGCTTGCCTTACTGTTGCAGTAGCCTCGCCAAAGGCGGCCCTCAAAATAGCCTCAGGCGTCCACTGCTTCCAAGCGCCTCGACCTTTTGGTTTGGGCCTGGCTTCATCAGCAGGCTGCAAAGGAAGCAAATGATCTAGGGTTCTATGGCGCCCTGACGCATTGGACGCTTGAGCCTGCAGCCTGAACGTGTCTGCCCTGTGCTCTTTTCTTTTTTTCCTCAAGAAACTGACCCGGCTTCTCCTTGCATTCATCCGCCTAGCTCTTGCCCTGAAAGCATTGGCCAAGCCACGGCCGCCACGCCCCAGGCAAACACAACGCCCAAGGCGGCCACCAACTCCAACACCACGCCCAAGGCGGCCACGTCCACCAGCACCAGGTCTAAGACCGGCCCTAGCAGGCTGCTGGCCACCAAGCGCAATCCCTGCCAAATCATGTAAGCTCAGCATCGCCCCCACCCATTCAGCATGGAAGCGAAACTCTTTCGCCAATTGTGGGGGCCATCTTGAACCAAAGGATTGATGGAGGAAAGTGAACCAGATATTATCACAACATGTGAAAAGGCTAAGGATGGAGGCAGCTATCGATGTGATGCATGTTTTTTGTTGCTGTTATATAGCAGCCCCAGCCATCGATGTGATGCATGTTAAACCGACCATTACTAACTTGCATGTTCAGTATGTTCAAAAGGTTTGCTTGCGAACAAACATGTTGAACATAAGCAACAATTTCAAAAACAATTGCGCAGCAATTGTTGCTAATATTCAACAATTCCAAAGCAATTGCAAAACCATTGTTGCAAATATTCAACAAATTCAAAACAATTGCAAAACAATTGTTTGAAATATTGAACAATTGTTGAAACAATTGTTGAATATATTGAACATATGTTGAAACAATTGCTTTACATATTCCAACAGTTGCAAAACAATTACCCAAACAATTGAACAATTGCAAAACAATTGAAAACAAATGTTCAAACAATTGCCGGTGACTATTTCGGAGCCCCTTGTAACCCTTCACCAGAGGCTTCTTAAAAACAATCAAGTTGATATCATGTATTCAGGTTCCACCGTTGAACAAAATCATTCTGTTCAAGGTGGTAGCATTGCAGCGTAGTGTGGCCTTGTACATTGTAGCTGATTGATGGATAAGAGATGATAAGATGACTTTGTTTGTTGGGCGCTGCTAGATCTCCATCCACGCCTTTGGTCAGAGTCATCCAAGGCAATACATTTGGTCTGGCTCTGGCGGAGGCTTTTGCATCTATGAGTCACATGTGATGGCAACTGCTGACCTTACGTAGCATGAACATGTCTCACGCTTGGGTTGTGAATGAAGCACTTAAATACGTGGTAAGGCCACACACGAATTTGCGGATAGCACTTGATCTGCGCATGAGTCATGGCAGGTGCAACTACTATGCAAGTGAATTATGGCGAGAAGGCAGCGCAGCCTTCAGACACCCCTGGCCCCTGCTCAGTGAGTTGCACACGATGTGATGCCAGGCGCCGCCCTCTGCTATGAAGCAGAAGGTCGTTCGCAAGGAGGATGGAACGGAGACAACCATGGTGCGCCATAGCAGTTTACACCGTGTCGCTGGCTGCGAATTGAAGCACTGGAATGCGTTGGAACGACCAAGACAAGACAAGAGTTTCTGACCACCTATATATAAATGACATTAAATGACCAACCACAACCACCCTGCTGGATGGATCTGTAGAGCTATCAGAACGTTCAGCGCAGACTGAATGACTTCGTCCCAACATCCTTTCAAGGTGGATGCCTCTGCTGACATTGTCCCAGAGGCCACGACACTTGGCTGGATTCCTTCGATAGCGTGGTGTATCCATGGTGAGATGTCAGAACCAAACAGGGGTACAGTGAACTGGTGAACATCTATTAGCTTTAGCATTTGAATAGTATAGCTTCCGGAAGCGGTTTGGGATTTGTCCTCAGAGTTCCGAGGTTCTCATTTTACATATTACATCATATTACATTAAATTACATGTCTCATATTGGGCACGATCTGCGTATCTACACTTGGCGGCATGTTGAGTGAATCTTTCACCCCTGCAGATCCCCTGGACAAATCTCTTGTAGTAACAATAAGCTAGTAGTAACAAGTGCATTGCTACTAGTAACAAGTGCCTTACTAGTAGTAACAAGTGCCCCGCACGTGCCCGCCAGATGAGCTCGCCAGAGTTCGGCACCCGACGGTCAGTGGTGGGCAGTGCCATGGTCCCTGCGGAGGACACGGCTTGATTGTGTAATAGTTGAGAATAGTTTTCTCATTCAGTCATTCAGTTGATTCATCTTCTGTTGCCTGTTACACAGCCGTGAGGATTTCAAGGCACACACTCTAGCCGATGAGCTCTCGGAGGCCTGGGAATCCAGCCTGGCTTTGAGAATCTAGGAGCTCCGATGGGTCTTAGAATGTCTTAGCTCTAGTTCTGTAGACGTGTTTGTTGGCTTTTGAGGAAAGTGAACCCCTTCAGCACCCAGCAAGGTGTTTTTTGTTGGATGGTTGACGGGACGGTCTCTTGACTGTGGCAACCACAAAAGATATGCAAAGGTGTGCGTGGCAGTGCATGGCAATGAAAAGAGGCTTCAAGCGCTGCAACTGCCCAGGCACAACAAAGGATAGATAGAGATAGCGTGTTGTCGCCTTCCCTGAGCCAGACATGGCACGAACCATTTACACATATCGTATATATATAATATGTATATAGGTGCCTATAGTGCTTAGGGCAGGCTATTCATTCAGCACATGGTCTTTGCGCAAGTTTAATGGTTACATTTTGGCTATTTTGGCTAGCTTTAGCCAAAACAGCTTTGTGGAGTGAAACTCTAAGAGAGAACCTCTCTGCTCAGCTTTTGTGCGTTGGTCATGGACGACCATTCGGTGGTGCAGGTTTGGCGTGAGATAAATGGAGTCACTGATGATGGTGATTTTGCCTGCTTCTTCAGTTCGTTTGAAGAGGCCAAGCAGGAGGTGGGCGACCTCATTGCCTTTGCATGGCAGCAAGCTCGGCAGCAGGCCGAGGGCGGAGTGGACAAGGTGGTCCAAGCCATGTTGGCTCGCGAGGAGAAGCCAAGCCCGCCGGCCCCTCAGGTTAGGCAACCTGCACCATCTATTAAGGTGAAGCCGAGTTCAGCACCGCGTGTTGTGCGGCAGGCGGCAGGTGGAGAAACCACCATCTCCGAAGGAGCCGTTCCGCCAGTCGTTACAAGAGATTGCGGTGAGTGCCAGTTGGTTCAAGCCTGGCCAAGGAGAGACGCAAGATGATGTTATCAGGGCCATGCAGCCCATGCTTACGTCGTTGTTGGAACAGACTGAGGTTCCCACTCTGAAGCGAGTGGTGGCTACCTGGGCCGAGTTGGCCAACTGGGGCGAATCCCTCGGTATCAACAACATGCAGTATGTTTCCGCCAGCCAGCTGAGCCGATTTTACCAGGAGTCGAAAGCTCCTTCCCGTGTCCTCCCAGCCATGCAATGGATGCGCAACAACCTGCGCGTGCCATGGGACCTTTCGCTGTGCGTGGGGCGCGGCGAAGGGGAGACATGGTGTTGGTGCTCGCCAGCACCCACTGCTGAGCCAGCTATGCTGTGGGCCCTATTGGAAGCAGTTGCACATGCCACTCAGAATGACACTGCAGCTGCGCCGGCCCTGGTGGTGACCTATCTTCAGGTCTTTGGCTGCCTTCGGGTCGAGCATGTGCACCGCTCGAAAGTGCTGAAGGCCAACAGCCACTCTGTTTACTTTTTGTGCCCGAGAGGCAAACAGAAAGGGCATCGGCATGGGTTCCTGTGGGCAGGTCCCCGCCGATCACTTCATCGACCAGACCGCCGAGGCCATCGGGTTCGACATTGAGATTCGGAAGAAGCTGCGAGCGAAGTCCATTTTGGACACGGTGCGCCTGGCGATTCGGGGGGTGGTCCCTGATGATGACCATGCTGTCCAGCAAATCCTGGAGGCAGATGTCGATCACATGGGCTATGTTGGCTGAGGTTCCCCCACCCACTACTGGCCTTGGGGAACTGGGTGGACAAGCCGGCTGCTGCCCAGCGCAGCCAGATGCCGTTGCGCTACACAGGGGCCAAGCAGTTCTTGGCGCTGCAGGCAAAGCATGCTTTCATGTTTTGCCATGATGTCCCTCACCCAGCTGTCCAAGAAGGTTCTCAAGTGGGATGATCTTGGGCACAAAAGCTCTACGTAGCTACCCGTGAGAGGAGCTTCGATCGAGCCTCCACTGTCCTGCAATTAAAGGAGGTAGTCTTTTTCAGAGCCTTAGATTCACTTTCAGAAGGCGAATTCGTTGATGCAAAGATTTTTCACGATTCGAGGTCGAGGCTTCAAGGCCATGCAGCAGCTGTCGAAGAAACAGCGAGAAGTCCAGGCTGCGGAGAACCTGCCCGCTGACGCAGAAAGTGCCGGTGTCGCTGCGGGGACGTGGAGGTCGCTGAAGAGGAGGAAGAGCTTCCGTTCCTCCCAGTCGAGGAGCCGGTGCTGGAGCCAGGCGATGATGCGTACTTTGATGAACTCGCCGCCAAAAGGTGGAGGAGCGTCAGGGCCATTGAGCCCCACAAGATGTTGGGCGATCGCTACAGGAAGTTCACCAAGCGGGTGCATGATCGCGCCGAAGCGTGAGACCTTGCCTGAGAACTTCGCGGAGATTCCGCTGAGGTTCATTTCAGCTAAGGCCGACAAGTCCTTGTGGCACGTGGTGCCCGTCGATTTCAACTCAGATGCGCCCAAGCCCGGTTGTCAATGGAAGAAGCATTCTTTAAGAGCAATGTCTGCTTTGCGGACTCTGTGCAAGCCCCGCTGACCGTCCCGACGCCCGAGGAAAATAGGCGCGAGTTCTGATGTCCAGACCGTGAGACCCCCGCTGTGGCCATATACGTTATCTTGTCTAAGATCGTTCATCTGTGTTTAGCTTTCAGCATTCAAGATGGCTAGCCCTACTGCCATGTCGATCCAGCGGCTGCTGTTGCTGCAGTACCCCATTCGTGAAGCACCTTTTCCCCCATCCTTGTGGATTATGTTTGGACAGATCAGCCTCCTGCACAAGTTTGTCGATTCGTTTCCAGTTGAAGTCCACCGGCGTGGATGGTTTTCCTTTCCGAGCTGAAGGGTATCGTGTGGGAGATGCTGAATGGGTTCTCAGTTGGGCGGCATTTGGTTCACCGCTTCCTGACCCCGGTGCTCTGTTGGTGGAGGCGGTGGAGGTCACCAACTGCCAACGTGAGGCAGCCAACTGCCAGCAGTACTTGGTTGCCTGGGCCTTGAACCTGGACGCGATGTCAGGGTTGCAATTTCAAGCAGCGCTGGGGGGCGCCGTGGAGGCATGTGGTAGCCTTTTTTGCCGCACTACCGGAAGTCGAGCTGCTTGATGAACTGGCTGAGTACCTATAGGGGTAGATTCCGGCAT